GTGGCTTGGGGCCCAGCTGAGCTGCTCAGGGTCTGAGCGTCGACCTATGAACCAGGAGGTCAGGGTTCGATTCCCGGTCAGGGCACAGGCCCAGGTTGCGGGCTCGGTCCCCAGTGGGGGGCGTGCAGGAGGCAGCCGATCCATGATTCTCTCTCTCATTGATGTTTCTATCTCTCTCTCCCTCCCTCTTCCTCTCTGAAATCAATAAAAATTATTTTTAAGAAAAGAAACAGTTGTGAAAGATACCAAAATGCGATGGTGACATTGTCAGGCCTTTGTTAATGGGCCGATGGGGAGCCGCACACACTCAGGCCCCGGGCTGGGACACGCTGAACGCCCCGAACCACCCGGTCATGGGGAACCCTGGCCTGACACCGGGGAAGGCCGTGCCCTGGGCGAGGGGCCCACCATCAGGGGCGTCTTCCCGTCTTTGTCCTTCACGTTCACGTCAGCGCCAGCTTCGATCAGCAGGGAGGCGACCCTCTCGCTCCCCGACACGGCGGACACTCTCATGAGGGGGGTCCAGCCCGAGCCAGCGTCCGTGGCGTCCACCTGGGAGGCCACAGGGCAGCTCAGGCTGGTTCCTGGTCCTGAAACGTGTTCGCGGGAACTTACAAGAGAATGAGTATTTGCCCCATCTCCCCTCGTTTAGATACCGTCTTCCTACACTCAGTCAGGCTGAGGGGGCTGTGCTCATGTGAGTCACGTTGACACGCGGGGAGAAGCGTGTTGGGGTCCCTGCGGCAGTGCTGAGGCGCCCCGGGAGACCCCACGGGGATCTTCACCCACGTCCACGCCTCAGAGACAGGCTCGCACAGCCCTCCCAGCAGCTCCCGGAGGCGGACTCCTCGGCCTCGCGTCTTGGGCTCCCGGCCGCCTGGCGGGTGAGATCAGGGCGCATCTCCCATGGCTCCTGCCTCCACGCCTGACACTTCATTTCACTTCTTTGAAGTCTGGAACTCGGGCTTTCAGCACGGTCAGCGGGAACCGTGATGAGCTGCCCAGCTCCGTCCTCAGCAGCCCGAGCTCGGCTCCCATCACTCAGGCACAGCTGTGCCTCCCACCCCGCGAGCCCAGGCCACCCGCGTGCCCACCAGCCCGAAGGCACTGGGAGCTGGTGTCCTGGTCTTGGTGCAGCCGGCTCGGGCGTCGGAGGATTTTTGTAATGACTCCTCTTTAAAGCAAAGGAGAATGAAACCATCTAATTCTGAAAGCCACGGGAGCCACAGGAGCCAGGGAGCCATGGGAGCCAGGGAGCTGCAAGCGTCCCAGCAGCTCCATGTCTCAGGGTCTCCATCGCAGGCCCTGAGGCGTGTGGGCCGGTGCTCGGTGGCGGCCTGGAGGAGGAGGCAGAGGAGGCCGAGGAGGGAGGGCTCGGACAGAGGACACCGGTGTCGGGGCATGGGCAGGTCGGCCGCGCTCTGGCCTCAGCTGGTCCTTCCTCCCCCGGATGAGCCTGCACAGCCCGCGGAAGCCTGGCTCTCCTGTCAGCCCCACC